AGGGTCGACCTCCACGTGATTGTTCCTCCCATCCTGCTCGTGATCATTCCTCCCGTCCTCCCCGTGACCGTTCCTCCCGTCCTCCCCTTGATCGTTCCTCCCATCCTCTACAAGACCGTTCTCTATACCGTCTTGTANATTGCCCCGGTCTCATGAGTCATCGCCAAAGGGTCGACCTCCACGTGATTGTTCCTCCCATCCTGCTCGTGATCATTCCTCCCGTCCTCCCCGTGACCGTTCCTCCCGTCCTCCCCTTGATCGTTCCTCCCATCCTCTACAAGACCGTTCTCTATACCGTCTTGTAAATGAAAGTTCATCAGACGATGATAATGATGTTGTAGAAAACACCCCTTGACTTTTAAATACTTTGAACTAGACAAATAGAACCAGTTTTGAACTTGTTGTAATAAGTTTTAACGAGGCAAAGATTAAAGCGCGCGACAGAGCTTGCATCGCACAGGCTACAGCGAGATGAAGCTCGCATTTTTTCTCGCGCCTCGAGGCTTGTAGCGAGGGAGTTCCGCGTTTAAAGCCTATTTTGTCTCCTTTTTTGTTTTGGACTTGGTTATTTCGTTTAGATTTTTTCCTTACACATATAAATAGTCATTAAACACCCTTTTTAGAGGAGTTTTTGCGACCGGAGGCAAGAACATCACGTGGAACAACTTTTGGAGGAGAAAATCATCGAGTTCTTTATTCATTTATCTTTTATTTGTAATTTGTTTNACAAAATACTTGGAACATTGTTACTAAGAACATGAGTGGCTAAGCACATCTTCGTTAATTCGGATTATCATATTGTGGTTGTTTCTTTAATTCTAGTTTTAACTTGTGAATTGTTGTAGCTACCAATTCACCCTACTATCTATGCTNTATGAGTAGCTAAGCACTCTAGTTCTAGGGTTGTGGTTGACATGATTATTAATGTTTATTAATTACATCTTTGTTAATTCGGATTATCATCTTGTGGTTGTTTCTTTAATTCTAGTTTTAACTTGTGAATTGTTGTAGCTACCAATTCACCCTACTATCTATGCTATGCTTGGGGAAAGTCGTGTTTAGATTAGAGTAGAATTAGAGAGAGCTTGTTTCTGAACCCGTGGCTCGAAGGACGATTTCACGGTTAGGATAGGAATATACCTAACAGTCTTGCTTAATTGAATACCGTATTATATTCGTTCATGATAGACTCAATACCATAGAAATATAGGATTGATATATTGTGCGCAGGCGAGTAATATTGTGGGCAGACGAGTAATATTGTGGGAACATGCTATTCATATAAACGATCCAGTTAATTAGCAACCATAGATAATCTGGATTAACGAGTGTGATTATTGAACTTAATAGGATTGATAAACCAACCACAACCCTGGAATTTTCACCTCCTCTGAATTAAAATCTCATCATACACATTTGCATTCTTGATAAATTAGTTGTTACTTGTTTAATTTTCGCAATAGTAGATTAATAGAAAAACATCATTCTTAAATATCTTGGATAATTAATTGATTTTAGTTTCCTTAGTTAACAATTGATCTAAGTCTCTGTGGGTTCGACATCCGACTTTCGAGTGACTTTATTACTTGACGGCTACGTATACTTGCGTGTACTTGGGGAACAACAAGTTTTTGGCACCGTTGTCGGGGACTTAGTTATTGATTGTTTATCTAAGTTAAGCTTTTATTCGTTATTTGTTCAAGTTTTAATTTTTAGTTGGCTTTATTTGTGATAACGCAGTCTCTTCTCTTGAATGCGGAGGAGTAGAAGCGCAAACAATATCCTTCCTTTTGATCCTGAGATCGAACGAACACTTCATATAGTGAGGAGGGAAGTTGAAGCGAGAACGAGAATTGAAAGAGAGTTGGACATCGTAGTTCAACCACAGCCAATAGAGATGGCAGGTAATGAAAGGCGTCCGGTGATAGAAGCTGCAAGGCCCAATCTTGCTAATATGACTCAGGCAATTATGAAGCCTGAGATCACGGGTCACATCTTGCTAATATGGCTGCAATGAGGATGAAGTAATATCAGTAGTTTCAAGTTGTTTTCTAATTAGTCCTTTGGTTTGCTGCTTTTGAGATGCTACTAGTCCGAATTTAGTGTTCAACTTTTTATTTAGATAAAGAGTCTTCTTCTGATACTGTTAAACTAATAAGCTTGATCATGTGTTACAAACTGTCTAAACTAATTCTACTACTGAAAGAGATGAGCAGGTGCTTAGCTCTACCATGTTTTAGGTCTCTTCCCCTTTCTTCTTTTACACATATTCATATGAGAATTTGGCTTCTTTTGCGGGTGGAGCTAGTGTACATGTTACATAAATACTGTATTTATGTTAGAAATTTATTAAATATGTATAAATTATTAATATCTAGAAACTAATACCGCCCGGGCGAATTTTAGGATCTTCGTATTATCCTTGTACTTAACGTTTCCACTAAAATCTTAGTGGCAAGTGATAATAACGCCAAACATTAAGTGGGCAATTTTGATACTCACGTCTTGGGGAACATCAAAAGTGATGCATGTTTGAGCCATTTGAAATTCACTTGGTCTAGAAAAAAATCACATGAAACTGATAATGAAAAACAAGATCATGTTCGGTTCCTTTTAATTCGTTGCGCGCACGCACACAAATGAAATCGTATAAAGACAATTCGTATTTGATGTAACTATCGTGCAAGTATTTTACCATTAAGAATCAAACAGTTTCTTGTTACTGATTGTATATTGATCGATTATAATTATAGAATATCCCCTTTCGCGAATGACTATTTATTCGAGTGATTTATGATGTTTGGCTATAATTTCATATTTTTAGTGCATTACTTACCTTATATATTCGTTCATGATAGACTCAACACCATAGGAATATAGGATTGATATATTGTGGGCAGGCGAGTAGTATTGTGGGGACATGCTATTCATATAAACGATCCGGTTAATTAGCAATCATAGATAATCTGGATTAACGAGTGTGATCATTGAACTTAATAGGATTGATAAACCAACCACAACCCTGGAATTTTCACCTCCTCTGAATTAAAATCTCATCATACACATTTGCATTCTTGATAAATTAGTTGTTACTTGTTTAATTTTCGCAATAGTAGATTAATAGAAAAATACCACTCTTAAATATCTTGGACAATTAACTAATTTTAGTTTGCTTAGTTGACAATTGATCTAAGTCTCTGTGGGTTCGACATCCGACTTTCGAGTCACTTTATTACTTGACGGCCACGTATACTTGCGTGTACTTGGGGAACCAACAAGTTTTTGGCGCCATTGCCGGGGACTTAGTTATTGATTGTTTATCTAAGTTAAGCTTTTATTCGTTATTTGTTCATGTTTTAATTTTTAGTTTGCTTTATTTGTGATAACGCAGGCTCTTCTCTTGAATGCGGAGAAGTAGAAGCGCAAACAATATCCTTCCTCTTGATCCTGAGATCGAAAGAACACTTCATAGGGTGAGGAGGGAGGTTGAAGCTAGAACAAGAATTGAAAGAGAGTTGGACATCGTAGTTCAATCACAACCAATAGAGATGGCAGGTAATGAAGGGTGCGCGGTGGGTCTATCTCATAAAGACCCGTAGAGGCACATTCAGAACTTCCTAGAAATCACAGACACTTATAATTATCCGAACGTTTCCAAGGACTATGTCAGGCTAACACTATTTCCCTTTTCACTACTAGGGGAAGCTAAGGAATGGTTGCAAAAAGAGCCCGCAAACTCAATCCACAATTGGAATGATCTAGCAAGGAAATTCTTAATCAAGTTTTTTCCCACTAAGAAGACAAAGTCGCTGAGGAGCCAGATTATTAGGTTTCAACAGTGAGATGGCGAGACTCTTCGTCAACCTTGGGAAAGATACAAGAAGCTACTCAGAGATTGACCACACCATTGTCAGACTGGTGAGGTGTTGGGTCACACTTTCGTTGATGGGTTGGATGAGGCATCAAAGATGAATCTTGACTCAGCATGTGGGGGTAGTTGCATGGAAAGACCATATAGTGAGATCCATATCCTGCTAAACAATTTCACTGCTAATGATAATAATTGGCAAGGAGATGGGGAATCACGAAGAGCACTTAAACAAAAGGCAGCAGGTGTGATCGAGCTTGATGATTTCTCAGCCATGAGGGTAGATATAGCGAGATTAGCAACTCAGATGAATATGATGACAATGCACCAAGCACAACAGATGCAGCATGTGCAACAGATGTCTACTTGCTGCGAGTTATGTGGTGAAGATCACACAAGTGGGGCAACAAGGTAGAGGGCCGATGAATCAAAATGCTCAATATAGTAACACATACAATCCGAACTGGAGGAATCATCCTAACTTCTCTTGGGGTGGAAATCAGAACATCAGGCCTCAAGCGAATTATAATCATCCACCTCAACCTCTACAGTAATTAGAAAAGAGTTTGACTGACATGATGAAAAAACTCTTGCTAGACAATCAGAAAGTTATGGCTGAGAATCAACAATTGCGCACAGAGTTCAGAAATCTAGAGAGGCAGTTTGGCCAAATGGCTAACAATAAGAATATTAGACCTGTTGGAGCTCTCCCAAGTGATACAGAGAAAAATCCTCAAGTCAATGCAGCGACGTTGAGAAATGGAAGAGAGTTAGTAGAAGTGCCTAAAAATAAAAGGAGCAGTCTGGGTTCGAAGAAGAAAGAGTGCCACAACCCGTAGAGGCAGATGACACAAACAAAATAGAGTCTGAGAAAATATCAGAGAGGGTGTCACCTCCTTTTCCTCAAAGACAGGGGAAGAAGAATGATGACCACATGTTTCACAAATTTTTAGATAAGCTGAAGCAGATACACTTGAACATCGCTTTGATGGACATGCTCCGTGAGGTCCCAAAATATGCAAAATATATTAAGGATATAGTGGAAAATAAGAGGAGGTTAACTGAATTTGAGACCGATGCACTTACTGAGGAGTGCACTTCCAGGATTCAACATAAGCTTCCACAAAAGCGTAAGGATTCAGGTAGTTTTACCATCCTCGTGAGGATTGGTGAAATTGATGTGGGTAGAGCATTGTGTGATTTGGGTGGAAGTATCAATCTGATGCCGTTGTTAGTGTTCAAACAATTGGGATTAGTAGCTTCGAGACCCACCACAGTGCTGCTACAGTTATCTGACAGATCTTATGTTTATCCTGAGGGGGTAATTGCGGACGTCTTGCTGCATATTGGGAAGTTTATTTTCCCTGCAGATTTTATCATCCTGGACTACGAGGTTGATGAGTTAGTTCCTATCATCTTGGAACGACCTCTTTTGGCCACTGGAGATGCCATTATCAAAGTCCGAGAAGGTAAGATGATCCTGAGGGTGGACAATGAAGAAGCGGTCTTTAATGTATATCGAGCCATTCAGTTGCCTCGTCATTACAAGGACCTGGCCATGATTTCTGTGGTGAAGATAAATGCACCAGCCATAGAGGCAAGTGCATTTAAAGAAGATGCACTAGAAAAGACATTGATGTTGTTCAATCACTTGGAATTGGAAGAAGAAGTTGAGGAGCTGTTGAAAATTTTGGATGCATCTTGTGAACACATAAGAGAAAGATCCCAGTTTGAGCCTCTGGATAGGGTAATCGGCTTGCCCTCTAGACCCTCAGTTGAGGAGGCTCCAAAATTGGAACTTAAACCCTTAACACCTCATCTTCATTATGCATATTTGGGTAGTTCTAACACTTTACCTGTGATTGTTTCTTCTCATTTGTCTAAATTACAGGAAGAAAAGCTCTTAAGGGTGCTGAGGGAGCACAAACATGCCATTGGTTAGACAATGTCTGACATAAAGGGTATTAGCCCTGCATTCTTCATACACAAAATACTCATGGAGGAGGGATACAAGCCTAGCTTGGAACATCAACAACGCCTAAATCCAATCATAAAAGAGGTAGTAAGAAAAGAAGTGATTAAGTGGCTCGACACAGGTATAGTATTTCCCATCTCCGATAGTAAGTGGGTTAGCCCTATTCAATGTGTACCTAAAAAGGGGATATGACTGTTGTAGTTAATGAACAAAATGAATTAATCCCAACTAGGACTGTGACTGGTTGGCGAATATGCATAAATTATAGGAAGTTGAATAATGCCACACGAAAAGATCACTTCCCCCTCCCCTTCATTGATCAAATGCTTGACAGGTTAGCCGGAAAGGAATACTATTGTTTCCTTGATGGCTATTCGGGGTATAATCATATTGCTATTGCCCCGGAAGATCAAGGAAATACCACTTTTACATGCCCTTATGGCACTTATGCATTTAAGAGAATGCCATTCGGGTTGTGTAATGCACCTGCGACTTTTCAAAGGTGTATGATGGCTATTTTCACCGATATGGTGGAACGGTTTGTGGAGGTTTTTATGGATGATTTTTCTGTGTTTGGTCCTTCTTTTGATGAATGCTTGACCAATCTTGCTAAAGTGCTTGCCAGGTGTGAGGAGACTAATTTGGTACTGAATTGGGAAAAATGCCATTTTATGGTACGTGAAGGTATAGTGCTGGGGCACAAGGTGTCCAAAGATAGACTGGAAGTTAACAAAGCTAAGGTGGAAGCAATTGAAAAGTTGCCACAACCGATTTTAGTGAAAGGAGTTAGGATTTTTCTGGGACATGCAGGTTTTTATCTCTGATTTATAAAAGATATCTCAAAAATTTCTTCTCCTTTTTGCAGGTTCTTAGAGAAGGATGTGCCGTTCAAGTTTGATGATACTTGTCTGAAAGCATTCGAGGAGCTGAAAAAGAAATTAGTGAGTTCACCAATCATAGTGGCTCCTGATTGGAAAGAGCCATTTGAGCTGATGTGTGATGCTAGTGATGGTGCAATTGGGGCCGTGTTGGGCCAGAGGCGGAGCAAAATTTTTCACTCCATTTACTACGCAAGAAAGACTCTTACTCCTGCTCAAATAAATTATACTATGACAGAAAAGGAGTTGCTTGCTGTAGTGTGGGCGTTTGATAAATTTCGAAAAGAAAGATGCTAAACCAAAGCTAATCAGTTGGATTTTACTCTTGCAGGCATTTGATTTGGAGATCGGAGACTGTAAAGGAACAGAGAATCAAGTGGCTGATCACTTATCCAAGTTAGAAACTCGGAATCATGTAGCTGAGGGAGATGTTATCAAGGAAACATTCCCGGATGAGCAATTGTTGGCCATTACTACTGGGGAGGTGCCATGGTATGCAAATTTGGTGAACTATCTGGCAAGTGGAGAGATGCCGCCTTATCTTGAACCTTATGCTAAAAGGAAGTTCTTGCGAGATGTGAAGGTAGCCTATGAATTTTTCTATAAAACTCCAATCGGACTGCCTATAAAACTCCAATCGGATTCTCCCCTTACAAGCTAGTTTATGGGAAGGTAGCCTATGAATTTTTCTACTATTTTGAACCCAAAATATTAATTTGTTGATAAAAACAATAATAGATTCGTGTAATTTAACCAAAACTGAGTTAGAATCACTTACCCCAATCCATATGGTGAAAATCGCCTAAAACATCGCTTCAATCCGAGCTCCATAGCTCCAAATGTGTTAAAATGGCCGAAACCTCGAAATATATCTTTTTTCCAGGCATTTATTCTTCGCGATCGTGAAGCACTAAAATTTTCAGCCCTAAAATTGCTCTTCGCGATCGCGGTAAATGCTTCGCGATCGCAAAGAACAAACTCCTCAACTCTTCCGGACAGCCTCTAGTATAATGGTCATAACATTGTGTACATAACTCCAAATTTCGATTGGTTTAACTTTCTGAAAACTAGACACCAAGGGCTATAACTTTTATTTGTTTCGAAACTCCCAATTCCTTATATATTGTTAGATATAAGCTTACAAAGTCAGCCCTGTGCAATAGAGATTTCCAAATTCTTCCCAGACAGCTTATAGTTTATCCACCATAACCTTTTATAAACAACTCCAAATGACATATGGTTTATATTTCTTAAAACTAGACATCAAGGGCTACAACTTTTATTTTTTGGATCATCTCCAAATTCCTTATAGATTGCGAGATATAATCTTCGAAAATTGGCTCAGTGCAGCAAAGATTTTGTTCTACGCGATCGCGAAAGAGCTTCCGCGATCACGATTCACAAGGTTCCAAACTGTTGTTTGTTCTTCGCGAACGCGACCCAATGTTCGTGATCGCGATGCACACCTCTGTAGGCAGAAACCAGCTAAAAATGGCCTAGAAATGGTCCGAAACCACCCCGAAACTCACCCGAGCCTCCTCGGGACCTCAACCAATTATACCAACAAGTCCTAAAATATCATACGAACTTTGTCGAAGCCTCGAATCACATCAAACAACGCTAAAACTACGAATCGTACCTCAATTCAAGACAAATGAACTTTGAACTTTCAAATTCTATATCTTGTGCCGAAATACATCAAATCAATCCGGAATGATTGCAAATTTTGCACACAAGTCATAAATGACATAACGAAGCTATTCCATTTTCCATAATCGGATTCCGACCTCGATATCAAAAAGTCAACCTCCCGGTCAAACTTTCCAAAAATTCAACTTTCGGAATTTCAAACTTAATTCCAATACGGACCTCCAAAAAAATTTTCGGACACGCTCCTAAGTAAAAAATCACCATACAGAGCTATTGGAATCATCAGAATTAAATTCCGAGGTCGTTTACACATAAGTCGACATCCGGTCACTATTTTAACTTAAGCTTTAAACCTTGAAACTAAGTGGTCTAATTCATTCCAAACACTCACCGGACCCGAACCAATTGCTCCGGCAAGTCACACAACAACTGTAAAGCCTAATTTGAGCAGTAAATGGGGAAACGGGGTTGTAATACTCAAAATAATCGGTCGGGTCATTACAATATATGATAATGAAATAAGATTCTCATGCTCTTGGACTGGTAAAAATAACACGCCATAGTGTAAGCATGTGCAAAGTCTGTTATCACACTTCAAATCGGCGATTTAACGCAGAAATAGTAACTACCCCGTTTATTCGAGGGAATTAGCCTCTTTGTAACCTCAAATGTAGCCCAGATAGTTTTCAAAAAAGGTACGAACATAAGAGACTTTATAACTTTACGCTTAACAGTAAACTCTAGGCATATCATAGCCTAAGCATTCTTTCAAGTAGGAATACTTGCCCCGATACCCACACATAGGCTCAACCTCACATATATGTGCACTCATAGTGTGTAGCTATCACAAATAATTAACGCAACTAGTGCCTCCACTGGGCTTTAAATAAAATAGGTACCTCAAATAGGTCGCAACCCCAAAACAATATACTTCTGAGAACTCCCAGTCTCCAAATTCATCGAACACATGAATCACCGTAACTAATCCCAACTCCAGCACTAAAATGACTAACACATCTTCCATTCACGATAATCCCATGGGGAATACTTTCATAATTCTTCCTTTCCACATAGCAATAATTTGAATATCATCAGTCTATCAACCAGGTGAGTACTGCAATACCGATGAACATCCGTAAGTCAAAAGACAACGTGCCNTGTAAGTCAAAACACAACGTGCCTTCTGAAATGCGAACCCTTCTCAGGAATTACCAAGCAGTTATAACACCCATCGAAATATCTAAAACTGACCACGCTGTCCATTATTCGTTACCTTCTCTTCAAGACTGAACTGTGAACCTTTACATGTAAATCCTAATCCCTCACAACACACCACGTCTATTATGCCATCATGTGAGAAACACAAGAATCCTATTATCAACATTTAGTCACCAACAATTTACATACTCTATTAGTTTGAAACCGTTCTCTTGCTTCTTTCCATGAGGAAATCACAATACACAACACATTCTCCACACCGGTAGAAAAGTATCCGATTCAAACCATGGTAGAAACCATCATGAACACTTTGAAATCCATCTGCACATAACCAAGCTATTAGAATTAAATTCCTCTAACTCGACCAAACCATGTAGGTCACCAAAACCCAAGAATATTGCCACTTATACGTTTTTGAATCCATTATCACCTTCTCGAGAGTCACCCATTTTGCTCAAATCTGAATATTACACCGCCCAAACTTGCTGAAAGACACGTGCCTCATTAGCACAGCAACACTCAAAGAATTAACTCTACTTTAATACCACATATCAAATTCATACTCAGTGCGCACTATATCATTCACAAATAACAACTCACTCATCCCACGATTTTCATATACTCATAAGTGCAATATAACCCGTATCCAGGAATTTCCTTACTAGAGTCATTCTCGAACTCCACCTATGCAAGTCATCACTGATTCCCAAGTAAACCTCAGACCAAAACAAACTTTTGACACATAGCCATGAATTAAATTGCCGATAGCAGAATCCCCCACTTGGCTCAAAGCCATAAATCAAAACATTCGATAACTCCCAATAACCATACTCTCTTACTGCCATAATGCTGCAGTCAGTTCAATGGAAATTCTTCTCAAGCTCATGCAACACTAACCATAAAATACCTCGATCATCCTCTAAGATCACAATCATTCTCTTGTCACTCAAGTCAAGTTTCTCAGCTAGATTCAATTTCAGATCTCCGCACATATGCCCTGCTGGCAGAAAAGAAACTCTCCACTCCTATATAAGGAACATTACCGAACGTATGAATCTAAAAACACTATTTACAACTGAAGCTACCGAGCTTAAGATGCGGTCTAAACCTAGCCTCACGTCCTCTAGATTGGCCCATCACCAAAACACATAATACATATCTCGAACCTTGTTCATAGAATCACAAGCCGGCGATGCACAGCTGACAGTGAGCGGTTATGTA